TTTCCACGACATTCTAATTTATTGAGATGCACCTGTATACTGTGTATCAGGAACTAAAAAGCTATTTTATACTGTGTGAAAATAGCAAGAGTGAGACAGGATGTTTCTAGAAAGGAAACATTTTAATCTTATCTGGAAAATAACTGTATATAATTTTTTTTTTTAGAATTTTCTATCTGCATAAATATGATCCAAACAGTGTTAATTTTTGACAGCAAATTTTGATTTAGTTTTAGTCATAGTCTTTTGACAAAACTGCCATTTAGTTTTAGTCATTTTAGTCATCTGAATTGTTTTTAGTATTAGTCTAGTTTTAGTCGACTAAAGCTACAGTAAATTTAGTCGGCTAAAATCGAATGGGTTTAGTTACAGTGCATTTACGAAGCATTTCTCTAAAATTTCCAAACTCATTATATAGGTTGGATATTAAGGTTTTATCATGATAGACACTGATTTAACTGCGGTGACACACAACATGCCTTTATGTTAAAATTAAATAAAACCACTTCTCATAAAGAACAAAAACATGGTCTTTGTTTTAATGAAATACCAATGTTTATATAGGCTAATTATGTATTCTTTACAGCAACTTGTATACCATATTCTTCATTCTTTCAAGCAGACATATTTATTTCTATAAATAAATTTAGATTAATCTTTAGGGCTACTAAAGTTTTTCAGTCAAGAGCAGTGCATGATTTTCTGTCTTCATTAACATCAATGACTCGAACAATAGCAACTAAATTAGACTGCTATCCCTTTAAAACCAAATGCACAGCTGCAATGGATGCAATGTACTGATACACGTTCTCCCTGCTGTTTATGTTCACTTAAGACGCAATCAACTGTGTTTACGTGAATACTCGTCAAAACGGACAATTTGACATTTTGTGTCTAATTCTCCATTCATGCGACGTGAGAGTACTCGTGCGCTGTGAGATGCGCTTTCTGTGTGTGTATGCTTCAGTGTCTGCGTTCAGAAAACCGGACCGAATTGAGTTCTCTCGTGTCGTCAGATTTATCCATATGTCTGCTCTTCTCTTACTCCCACATATTGACATATTTGAACGTTTTGAGAGACGTGCAGCAAGTGTATGCTAGCTTATGTCCCGCCCGTTCATATGTAAGCATCTAACCTCTGAACCATGCAGCAGATTCGTTCCCAAATCGTCCCTCCCTAACATTTTCGTCTCATTTTTATTCATTGACGAAAATGTCAATAGATTTACGTTATAGTTTTTGTCATTAAAAAAGAGTTTTAGTTAGTTATCGTCTCGTTGTCGTCGGTGAAAAAAAAAAAATGTAGTTGACAAATTATTCGTCAAAGAAATTAACACTGGATCCAAAACTCACAAGTCCTTAAAGTAGACAAAGAGAACCCAGTCAAACAAATGAGACAAAAACATTTTTTGTCATTTATTTATTTAGAAAAATTATCCAATATTACATATCTGTGAGCGGCAAAAGTATGTGAATCTCTAGGATTAGCTGTTAATTTGAAGGTGAAATTAGAGTCCATCTGTTCCGAGCTGTTTTCAATCATTCAATCAACTATCAGGTGTCATTGTCTGCCCCGATTTATTTAGAGAACAGGGAACTATCAGAGTCTGATCATGTTTGTGGAAGTGAATCATGGCACAAACAACAGAGATCTCTGAAGACCTCAGAAAAAGAGTTTTTGTTGCTCACCAGGATAGAAAAGGTTACAAAACCATCTCTAAAGAGTTTGGAC